CCTCCTTCCCCCCACCCCAAAAATAATCACACGGTCATTTGTCGACAATGTTGTGAAACGTTTCAAGCATCTTGCAACGTGCCAAGCATCTTGCAACGTGCCAACTATCTTGCAACGTCACAACATCTTCTAAATGTGCCATCTTTGACAGGTTACAAGAGAAAATTCCGAGCATAGCGTCAAGACCGGCTCAAAAAGTGACTGAAAAAAGTTCAGAGCAGAGCATCAAGAGCGTGTCACAAGCTGCATGTGCCTGCGTCCGACAAGAGTTTCCCACCCCGTCCCCCCCACCCTCCTTCCCCCCACCCCAAAAATAATCACACGGTCGTGTGTCGACAATGTTGTGAAACGTTTCAAGCATCTTGCAACGTGCCAAGCATCTTGCAACGTGCCAACTATCTTGCAACGTCACAACATCTTCTAAGTGCGCCATCTCTGACAGGTTACAAGAGAAAATTCCGAGCATAGCGTCAAGACCGGCTCAAAAAGTGACTGAGAAAAGTTCAGAGCAGAGCATCAAGAGCGTGTCACAAGCTGCATGGCCTGCGTCCGACAAAGAGTTTTCCCACCCGTCCCCCCCACCCTCCTTCCCCCACCCAAAAAATAATCACACGTTCATTTGTTCGACACTTGTTGTGGAAACGTTTTTTCAAAGCATCTGCAACGTGCCAATTTCTGCACGTCACAACATCTTCTAAATGTGCCAGTCTTTGACGAGTTACAAGAGGAAAATTCCGCGCAAGCGTCAAGACCGGCGCTCAAAAGTGATGAAAAAAGTTGCAGAGCAGAGCATCAGAGAGGTTGTGTCACAAGCTGGCTATTCGTGCCTGCGTCGTCCGGAAAAGAGTTCCCACCCGTCCCCCCACCCTACTTCCCCCCACCCCCAAAATAATCACACATGGTCATTTGTCGACAATGTTGTGAAACGCTTCAAGCATCTTGCAACGTGCCAAGCATCTTGCAACGTGCCAACTTCCTTACAACCTCACAACATCTTCTAGATTCTAAATGTGCCATCTTTGACAAGTTACAAGAGAAAATTAGGAGCATAGCGTCAAGACCGGCTAAAAAAGTGACTGGAAAAAGTTCAGAGCAGAGCATCAAGAGCCTCAAGAGCGTGTCACAAGCTGCATGTGCCTACGTGTGTCGGACAAAAGTTTCCCCCCCCCCCCCCCCCCCCCCCCCCCCCCCCCCCACCCCAAAAGTAATCACACGGTCATTCGTCGACCATGTTGTGAAACGTTTCAAGCATCTTGCAACGTGCCAAGCATCTTGCAACGTGCCAACAGTCTTGCAACGTCACAACAGCTTCTAAATGTGCGATCTGTGACAAGTTTCAAGAGAAAATTCGGAGCATAGCGTCAAGACCGGCTCAAAAAGTGACTGGAAAAAGTTCAGAGCAGAGCATCAAGAGCGTGTCACAAGCTGCATGTGCCTACGTGTGTCGGACAAAAGTTTCCCGCCTTCCCCCCCACCCCCCAACCCAAAAATAGTCACACGGTCATTCGTCGACAATGTTGTGAAACATTTCAAGCATCTTGCAACGTGCCAAGCATCTTGCAACGTGCCAAGCATCTTGCAACGTGCCAACTATCTTTCAACGTCGCAACAGCTTCTAAATGCGAAATCTTTGACAAGTTACAAGCGAAAATTCGGAGCATGGCTGGAAAAAGTTCAGAGCAGAGCTATGCAGAGCTTGCAACGTCACAACATCTTCTAAATGTGCCATCTTTGACCAGTTACAAGAGAAAATTCGGAGCATAGCGTCAAGACCGGTGCAAAAAGTGACTGGAAAAAGTTCAGAGCAGGGCATCAAGAGCGTGTCACAAGCTGCATGTGCCTGTGTCGGACAAAAGTTTCCCACCCCGTCCCCCCCACCCTCCTTCCCCCCCACCTTCCCCCCCACCTCAAAAATAGTCACACAGAAATTCGTCGACCATGTTGTGAAACGTTCAAAGCATCTTGCAACGTGCCAAGCATCTTGCAACCTGCCAACTATATTGCAACCGTCACAACATCTTCTAAATGCACCTCAAAAAGTGACTGGAAAAAGTTGAGGAGCATCAAGAGCGTGTCACAAGCTGCATGTGCCTGTGTCGGACAAAAGTTTCCCACCCCCTCCCCACCTTCCCCCCCACCCCAAAAATAATCACACGGTCATTCGTCGACAATGTAGTGAAACGTTTCAAGCACCTTGCAACGTGCCAGGCATCTTGCAACGTGCCAACTATCTTGCAACGTCACAACATCTTCTAAATGTGCCATCTTTGACATTACAAGAGAAGATTCGGAGCATAGCGTCAAGACCGGCTCAAAAAGTGACTGGACCTGCATGTGCCTGTGTCGGACAAAAGTTTCCCACCCCCTCCCCCTGTTTTTGTTTCGACCTAATACCTACATAGGTACATGCATGAGTATTGAGCACATTTATATGCGCCTTCAAGGCTCAAGAAAGAGGTATATAGAGTAACCCTGTAGACAAGCACGGACCGGCAACAGGCTGAGTAAAACAAGTGCTGTCATTGGCGAAGACGCCTTAGCTGATCTTGAAGTAGACGCTAGGGCCCCTCTTCAAGTGGTAGCGGAGCAGTGATCCCTCATTGAGGGTGAGCTCCAGGTAGAGCCCAAGAAATGGCAAGCCATGGCTATGATGATGATGACTTCGACATTGTCGATGCAAATGAATGGAACCAATATGACTCTTATGCAATGAGAAGAGCACCCCAGCATACACAGATTCATATGACGCAACAGATGACCACAAAGGTTGCTCCAGCTTATGATGGGCGAACCAGCTTCTTTGCTTTTGAGGATGCAATTGATGACTGGTGTGACATTACGGAGTTAGAACCAGAGAAACGTGGTCCAGCATTGCGCAACAGGCTGGAAGGAGATGCTCAACAATACAAGAGGCTATTGGATAGAGAATTACTCAGGGATCCCTATGAAGGAGTGGCTTATTTCAAAAGATTTCTACGACCTCATTTCATCAAAGGTGCCCAGAACGTGTTCTTATACCGTTTCATGCAGTTCATGAAGTTCAACAGAGGAACCATGGATCTTCAGAAGTGGATGACTAGATTTCAACTCACTGGCAATAGACTTATTGAGTCTTGGATGGATTTACTTCCAGAAATAACAGTGACTAGTCCTGAAGCAATCCTGTTTGTTCAGCAACGACGTCAAGAACATGAACGAGATCAACAAGAGAGAGCTGAAGTAGCAGCAGCCTCAGGAACACCCCATGTAGCTGTTCCTTGGACAGATGAACTGGCACTAGCGGCATTCAGACAATTTCAGGAAGATCGTAGACAAGTACAGCGACAAGCATTCCCACTGGGTGAAAATTTGCTAGCATTGATTTTTGTAAGTCTAGCTGACCTGAGTCAAGATCAGAGAAACACACTCACAAGTATCATGACACATCGTGGACGAACCCTCGATCGATACAGTATTCAGGAACTACGTGACCTGTTTTTGGAAATGTTTTGCACTACCAAAACAGCAGTTGACAATCCATTGATGCAACCCTCTGGCATGGCACAGAGAAGATCTTTCCTCGTACTGGATGAAGGTGAATTAGAAGGAACCGACGGCTATTGGGCCGAAGATGAAGAAGACGGCGCAGAAGGATTCCTGGATGCTTTAGAAGATGTTTTCTGGGCTTATGATGACGCCAACTTCACATGGTATCAGAGAAGGTTCCAAGGCAAATACATCAGACGAGGCAAAGGTAAAGGAAAGAGAAAAGGAAAAGGAAAAGGCAGAGGAGGACGAAGATTCTTCAGATCAAGAAAAGGAAAAGGCCGAGGAAAAGGAAGAAAGAAAGGCCGCTCTCACATGGTGAGTGAAGAAGGTTATGAAGATGAATGGCAAGATGATGAATGGAATGAAAACTATGACGGCTATTGGGCCGATGATCAAACCTGGAATGAAGGCTATTGGGCCTATGATGATTCATACTACATGGATGAGTATGGATACTTCCAGAGAAAAGGAAAAGGAAAAGGAAAGAAAGGCAAGAAAGGCAAGGATGATGATGGCAAAGGAGGAAAGCCAGGAGATGGAAAAGGCAAGTCGAACTATGTTCAACCTCAGACCACATCAGCTCCTGCCATACAGAATCAACAAACTCAACAAGCTCTTTATTCTTCTGCAGCTTCAAGTTCTGGTCATGGTTTCTTTTCATTTGGAACAACTGAACCAGCACGTGTTGATGTTGCAGAGACAGAGCCAGCTCGTGTTGATGTTTTGACATCCACGTATGCAGCACAAGATGAACAACGACGCACTCGTCGTGGAGGACAGAACCAACGTGATGCAAGAGCACATCAAAACAGGAGAGAAATGAAGAGATTCCCTGTTCTGGTTGGAGAAGTTGGTGCACTACGACAAGGTGTACAACAACGTCCAGCTGTAGTGCCCAGGCAAGTTGGTCTTCAAGAAGGTGAGGCTTCATGGAAGCCATTGGCAGAA